GTCTATATAATCTGTCAATATTATCCTGGGATTTTTGACAGGATAAGAGATCATCTATCAGCTGTTTCAAAGCCAAACAACACAAATCAGAGGACAGAAAAGTTGGAGGAAAATTCCTAGGTCTTTTACATTGGGCCACCTCTAAAGGAGGGGTGGGCTTGTCAAAAGAATAACTGGCGTTGGCTGAAAATTTTAACGAAAGCAAAGACTGATACTGATGTTTGTCTTCATGCTGTGATAACGTGAATTTCTTCACTCAGTATTGTGATGTCAGGAGGAAAATTTATATTCCAGTGAGATATTATTGGGTTTTAAAGAGTGACTTTGTTGTTGTAAACATGACTGTTGCTGCCATGGACTGTATAAAACTATATCCTGTATAACTGACCTATAAGGAAAGCATCAGGAGGTGAGGTGTGTGCATGTGTGTGTGTGTGTAGGAGAGGGAGAGAGGGAGATGCTGGTAGAGAGATAGTGTGTATTGTTAGATACTGTTAATGTCACTTATTATGCTTCTGTGCATTGATAGCTCTTTTTTAGTCGGTTGCTGCATCACATTATTACTTATTATACTCATTATTACTATTACTTGAACTTGTTTTATTTATTCATTTCACAGATAGTTATACATCATTACTCCTTCAATTCATTATGAATTCAGGAAGTGTTGGGTTTGAAATGACGGCGCGATGCATTAACTTTATGAAGGCAACAGGAGCAGATAAAAAGTAAAAATATAAAGATACAGAGGGTTTAATAAATAACGGCCCTTTTACAATGTAGTCTGTTTCAAATGAAGCTGGTAACCTCTACAGTTGTGGCTAGTAAAAGCCCCGCCACTATTTCTTAATTTTCTTACTTTAAGTCATCTGGTGAAAATTCTTGTATTTTTTAATATCGCAATATATTGCAAAAAAATAAATAAAATCGCAATATCCGTTTTTTTTCCCAATATCGTGCAGCCCTACATCAAAGGTAATGCCCAGGTAGCGCAGTCTGTCATGTTTGGGTCTGTTTCTCCTTTAATTAACAGACATCAATACCTTTCCCTTATTAAGAAAATTAGATTTTACATCCACTGTGTAAATAATATTCACATTCTCCTACTCACATATTATATCATGTATGTGGAAAGTACCTTCTCCTCTACAGTTTTTCATTATATCTCATTATCAGAATATTCATGTACATTGTAATTTACATTCATGGTATCTTTATAAAGATGTATGCAGTCTGGACCTACTCTTTATCTGTTGCACTCTAACATTACTGTATCTCATTATCTTATGAAATGTAATCTTCACAATAAAATCTTGTACAGTAGAATAATAGTTGTTATTGCTATTATTGTTGCCATTTTGTGGTGCACCTGCTGGATTCTTTGCTAATCAGCATGTGATTCTTTTAAAGGCACACCTAATGGCCATTATGCACAGAGCGAATCTCATGACACAACATGCGAAATGCATAATTGGCTCCTTTTTGCTTTAGTTAGGGCTGGCTCAGGCTTGCCTTGAACCAGTCCATAGTT